AAGTACTAAATTATTGTGTGAATGTTTAAGAAGCATTCTTCAGTATTTTTTCAGCGTGATTCTTGTCCCGCAGTTTTCAAGCTATTTCATCAAATCATAAATCAAAATGTTCAGCTCGTTCAGGACAATCCTGCTATGACTTTTGGTATTGGTGCAACTTTAGCTTTTTGAAATATTTAGCCTTTTTTGCCATTTTTTTCTCATAGAAAATGAATGGAGCTCATTTTACCTCCTTCAAATCTTTAGATCTGTTTACAACCTTTTATTGCTCCTTTCACATTTTGTTCTGCTTCAGCTTCTTTCAGCTTTCTTCTGCAAATTTGAACATTCTTTTGTGCTCCTTTCAGATTCTTTTCGCTAACTACATCATTTTTATGCTTCTTCAAACTTCCTTCTGCTAATTTCAGCTTGTTATGCTCTTTCCAGCGTATTTCTGCTGGTTTACAGCTTTTTCTGTTATTTCAGCTACTGTTTAGATGTTTTATGCAAATTTTAGCTTTTTCAGTTAATTCCACATTTTTGCACTCATTTAAACTTTTTTCAGCCTAATTCAGCAAAAATGTGCCCTCTCCATTTCCTTTTGGTAATTTAAGCTTCTGTCTGCCTTTTTTTTTTCCTGTTTTACAGCTGTTTTTTTTTTTTCCTTCCAATTTCAGCTTTTTTCCGATAATTTCCACTTTTTTATGCTCATTTCTGCTTCTTTCAGCCTAATTGGGCAAACATGTTCTTTATGTTTTCTTTTGCTAATTTAAGCTTGTTCTACCTTTTTAAGCTACATTTTTAGCATTTTTTTTAGCTAATTTCAGCTGTTTTCTGATAAATTCTAGTTTTTCATGGTAATTTTTTTTTCTACTTTCAACCTAATTAACTTGTTTATTGTAATTTCAGCTTGTTATGCTCCTTTCAGCTTATTTCTGCCAGTTTCAGCTCTTTCTGCTATTTCAGCTACTATTTAGCAGTTTTATGCTAATTGTAACCTTTTCAGTTAATTCCTTTTTTTTTTCTTTTTTTTTTTTTTAGCTCATTTCAGTTCTTTCCGCTTCCTTCTGGTAGTTTAAGCTCTTTCTGCGTTTCAGCTACTTTTCAGCTTTTTAAATGCTAATTTCAGCTTTTTTTTTTAGCTTATTTCCAAATTGTTGTGCTCATTTCTTATAATTTATACCCAGTTCAGCAAAACTGTGTTCTTTCTGCTTTCTTCTGCTAATCAAGCCTTGTTCTTTCATTTCAGCTACAATTAAGCTTGTTTTTTTTTTTTTTAGCTAATTTCAGCTGTTTTTCAGCAAGATCTTCAGCAAGAAGCATTCACACTGCATTTCCACTGGAAATTCAATTAATCTGGTTTATATTATATTAAGCTTTAACCATTAGATGTCCTGAATGTTTTATTTTATAGTACATGTATCTTGAGTATTTTTACTGATGTATTTGGTGGTACCTGTTGTGAAACTCATAGATGTCCTGGATGTTTCCGAACACAGTGTCATCCTTGTTGTTGAGACCAAGTGGGACGTCCTCTGAGCCACTTGTCATCTCCCACAGGTATGTCTGCAACAACATATTTTATTACCATCACACGGTACTAAGCAGTACATTGCATGAATCACTACTAGGTGCTTTCTGCAGGTTTTTGTGTGAGCCATAAATCCTGGGATGTACCTCTATACACTCCTGCAGGTCTCGGACGTAGACTCTCTCTGTCTGAAGGAGTTCAGCCATGATGTATCTGAACATACACACACACATACAAGTGTTGTAAAACTACTACAGTACTGCTGATGCTGGTAGTAACACAAGCAGGACGCACTCTTTTTTGCGGGCAGAGCGTCTCTTCTCGTCGCTGACTTGGTGACTCGGGTCAGACAGGTTGACTTCAGGGTCCGAGTCAGACAAACTGTTAGGGATCAGCTCCAACTCCAAATCCTTATTGTCCTAAATGAGACACCATACAATGTGCACGTATCAAATACTGACCAATCACTGGAGGACTAATAAACATTGTTTTTATTTGTTGACAGTTTTGATGCGTGAACCTCCTGTTCAGTTTTTATTTTTTAAGCTTTTTATAAACGTATCTCTCACCTGCGAACTGCTACCCAGAGCTGTCTCCAGCAGGTGACGGTACTGTCCCATCCTGACGGTAAAGTCGCGGTAACGTTTGTCCACCGTGGACACGCAGCGGCGGAGCTCAGTGCGGTGGGCGTGGCCTTTAGCCAGCATGCTCTCAGCCAGCTGAATCAGCAGGTGAACCTTCTCCTGTGTATGCTGAGAGAAATGTTGTCTTGATCTGTCAGGTTTCATGTTTATTCTGTGATCCAATGATAGAAGAATTATATATATCATGCGATTTTTCATTATTCCTATTGTCAGCTAAGTCACATACGATATATATAATTCTTCTATCACTCATCCTGGTTTGAATCATGTTCAGAATATAAAATACAACATACAAACGAAAGTAAAGACTACCGTGATTCTTTGTTTTTCATCAGATTTTCTGTCACTCTTTTACTGCTCAGATCATAAAAAAGGTGTTGAACTGCATCCTTTGTTCAAAACCGATTCTTACATTTTAGGGGTGTAAGGAGATCTCTTGGCATGAGATCTTGCAAGATTAAAATGTCCCAGGATAGCCTGTCAAGTTGAAAACTGTCGTGTGAACCATAAAACCCCCTGTCTCATGAATTACTCTAGTGAAATAATTACCATACTTGCCCCCGTACACGTCGCACCGCCGTGAAAGTCGCATCTATTATGTGTTAAAGCTGACCACCCGGAAACATGGGCTGGTGTGCCAAAAATCGATTAGCTGCCATGGGAGCGTGCACAGGAGGACTTTAACAAGAATTTAACAAGATTAATACTTAAAAACAATTGTTTGTTTTCTTGACATTATAGTAAAGGTGTGTCTCAGTTGAACTTTTCCTTAATAAATGCATTTTGATGGTCAAATCAGCTGCATTTCGCCTGGTTTGATGTTTACTCCAGGAGTTCCTGAGCGAGACGAAGGTGGCACAGTATGGCAAGCCAAGTGTGTCATTAATAGTCACTTTTACCTATTAATGAGAGATTTGGCTTGCCATAATAGTCGACCACCCTCTAGTGGCTGAAACTGGTAGTGTTCAATATTTTCCATGTCAGAATAAATGAAATCGTCAGATCTCAGCCAAAAAATGGGTTATAAATATGGAAAAAAAAAAACGTATATTAGTCGCTTTGGTGTATAAGTCACAGGACTTGCAAATTTATGCAAAAAGGTGTGACTTATACGCTGGAAAATACGGTACTAAAGATATCTCCCCCACTTTAAATTGTTGGTGAGGCAGCAGTTTAAACAAACATGTCTGCCACTTGGAGAATATTTTCTTTTACCCTTTATTCATACAGGTTTTCTCGTTGAGTCACGAGAACTCTTTTTCAAGAGAGACCTGTTTTTGGGAGCGAATGGTGGGGGTTAAGGGCCTTGCTCAGGTGCCCAGGGTCGGGCAAATGAGGGTGGAGGCTGATGGGAAAAATGTCTATCAAACTGTGAGGTGAAGGTAAATCAGACCATATATTCACTGAGTCCCCCCCCCCCCCCCCTGCTCTCTATGCACCTGTCTAGACCTAATCACAAAAAAAGATACACAAAGGAGTCTCTTCTAATGTCCTGGGAGTCTCATCCTGTGAAATAACTGTCTCCTTACACCCATGCTATATTTCAATTATACTTTTGAGCTCATGTTAGAACCAACCTTGGCAGAAATACAAAACTCTCTGTGTTGGTTTAGCAGCTCTTGTGTCTCAGCCATTGCTGCCCCGGGCGATGTATGTGTAGCCAGGTAGTGGTCACCTGACTGTTGCAGCCAATCAAGAGCCTGCAATGAAATCAAAGACTGTTGGAGACTTTTCTTTCAGGCAAATTATAGTTAATGTCGCTGATTATCCTACAGATTGTTCTCCTAATCAATCTGTAAATTGGTCCATAAAACAAAACAAAAAAACTGAAAATGATGTCCTGACTAAAAGGGGAAAACGAAACTTTTTACAACAATAAAAACAAAAAAGTAGCAGGTTCTTTTAGATCTTACAAGAATCAGATATATTTATATAATAAAAGTCAGGGTTTTATTCTGAAGATTGCTAATGGGGTTGTCTACCTGCTGGGCATGGCTTTGGAACATCAGGTACTGCTGGCACTGATCCAGTCTGCGTTTTTTCAAAGTCCAGAAATGAAGGACTCTGTTTTCTCTCTGGAGCAACTCACTGAGAATACCTAAGAACAAACACACACCTGAATCAGTTAAAGAACGACTAAAATGTCAGCAAATATATTAAGAGTGGTGTCCCTCAGGGCTCTATCCTGGTTACACTCTCTTTTTCTATTTAACAAGTGATGTACATGTTTTTCTTTTTGTTCACCTTTGACCTGTTGCTCTGGCACTCTGGAGTGCCCAGTGACCTCAGTAACACCAGTTACCCCAGAAACAGTGACATTATGACCAGAGATGTTTGCCATGGTGACGCTGTTGCGATGAATGTATTTGAGGAAAACCTCAGCGTTCCTTCTTGCCAAAGTGCATGCCTGTTGTCAAGGGAACAATTTGGTTGATTTTCATCAAAGTCAAAGTTTATCACTGAAATTGAACTAAAATGAAGAGAAAGAACTGAAACACTGAAAGACAGAATCAAAGCTTGAAACAAAATTATGAAACCGAAACAGCCAATTTTTTTTAAATCTTAAACAAGAAACATAAAACATTTCAAATCTTAACAGATCAACCTAACTTAAACCTTTTGAACTTAACTAACTTATAGTTTCTGACTGAATTAAATCATATTACGGCAATTAAAAGTCAGGGATATGAAATTTTCACCTTCAGGAAAGCCTCTTTCTGTTCCATGTGTTTGCTGATGAGCGGCAACAGCTGCTCAGGCTGCCTCTCTCCTCCTCCACACCAGTCCTCCTCCCTGCGGTACTCCTGCTCCAGACTCTCCAGGACACCACACACCTGGAACCACACGCATGAAGACAACATACATATTAGTAGCATTCACTGTGTGTGTGTGTGTGTGTGTGTGTGTGTGTGTGTGTGTGTGTGTGT